TTCATTACGATTATGTGCAGATTTTGATGCCTTCAGAAGTGTTGGATTTTGGCTGTAGCCAAGTTGGGAATTTTAACTGGAGTGTGTCAATGCTCCTGCTGAGACAAAAAGCAGAAGGTTCTTGGTTAGAAGATCTTGCTCTTCCACTCAGGGTCAGACTAATAGCTGTATTTGGGGTTAGGAAGGAATTTTACCCCATGGCCAGATTAGTATGGACTGTTGAGGTTTTTCCCTCTTCCTTGGATGTGTGTTTGATTTTTGAATATTATTTGTGAGTGTGTTTTAACAATCCTTTCAGCAGAAGGGTATTGACCACCTTTGTCTCCTTGGTTTATCTGTGATCAGTTAGGGTTCTACACCTTGTAGTCTGTGACAGTGTTGACTTTTGTAGTTTTAGCAGCAAATTAGACAAGGATTGTATGGGATGGTTTGGATAGGGATGATCCTGTCTCAGTCAAGGGGTTGGACTACAGGACTTCCAATGGTGCCTTCCAGCCCTACTTTTCCATGATTCTATGAAACTTTTTGCACTTACTTTCATGTGTGGGTGGGTTTGTATGTATTCCATGTTAAGTTATATCCCCTTCAAAATGCCTCTAATAACTTGTTTGACTTCAGTTATTGTTGTGAATACAGCAGGTGTATTAATGGCAGTGGCCATGACACCTGCATCTTTTCTTCTGAGTTTTAGCTAATCAAGAATCTCCAAGTGTAACTAGGTAGATTAATTGTACCCAGAGGTGTAACTAACAGTTTTTTGCTCAGGGCAAAAGCATGCCAGAAAGCTGAGATGGATTGGGTGGTTGGTGTGTTGTTACTGCTGCAGCACAGAGCTGCTGCCAGGGCAAAGACTCCCCAGGGACCTGCTGTTCCATGGCCCCCTCTAAGTTAGTGTCTGGTACTGGTGACTGTTTAACCACCCCTAGTTACACTGCAGATTATACTTTATTCTGTTTTCTGATTCTGTTGTGTTTACAGATATGATATGCTGAATGTAAGCATGACTGACAAACAGGACACAAGGGTGCCTGAGCTATGGAAATCAATTTGTCCTTCAATCCTTTTTTATTGTATACTGTGAATAGCCTCTCCTATATTGCTGTTAATAGTTTTCCTTACAACTATGAGAATGTCTATGATAGAAAAAAGAGAAGCTGGTAAACTTCTCTCCACTACAGCCTACAAAATCTAACACTTTTGTAGATGTATTCCCTAGGTTTTAAAGGCTCTGTGTTTACACACCAGAAATTACAATTGATTATATCAGAACAGAGAAAATAGACTAAAATATCGAATAAGTATAAAACAAACCTAACAACTGGTTGGTTCACTTGGTCTATTAGTAATATTCCCAAGGTCTGTTGTCAAACAATGCAGATAAATAACTGTTTGGCAAATGTTTTCAGTTGAACTTTCCATTTATTTATAATATGTATTCATTTGTCTATAATATAAAGTGGAATTGACTCAATCAGTAATAATATTTTTACACTTCTTTTTAAAGCCTTTTATAGAACAATATTATACTTAGGATGATTAGCTGACTTCTTACAAAATGCATTCTCCCTTTAAGAGTTATTCTGAGTCTTCTAAAACCCACAGATCTGTGGTTTTTTTCAATCAGTGCAAAGATGTCATAAGACCTATCCTTTTGAAAGCAAGTAAGTGTCGGTCTTATGATTAGATAAATTTAAGTTATAGTCTGTTAACTTAAAATGTTTACTGGGAACCAATGTTTTCATCCTTTTATTAATGAACTAAAATGTTGTGTAAATAGCTCATATTAAGAGGATCCACCATCAGAATAAAATGACAAGCTGTTAACACAGTTGTCTACTGGTGTTATTAGCAACATCTTAGATTGCTAAGGTAAAAAAAATAACTGAATTTATCTTCATACATGCTTTTTTCTCTACACTCTTTACATAGCTTGGACAATTAAAATAAATGTATTTCGGCTCAGTAGTGTAGTTAGCATCAGTTGGATTACTAGTGATGCCTATGTCTTTGGTTTTCAGCACCTTTCTGTCAAATGTTTTTATTTGGATTGTTTGTGTATTTATTTATTTTTTGTTTATTTATAGAGAAATATATCATTAAATGCATGCTGTTTAAAAACCTAAAGTTGAGGCCAAATTTAGGTTGCCAGTGTTCATTTTCCAATTATAAAATGTGAAACTGAGAAGATATATTAAATATAGTTCAACCAAATATAGCTATCCTGCACAATTAACAATTTTCTTTCTCCAGGATATAGTGTCTCCTTGTGTGTCTTCGTTCCTTCAGCATCAGAAAGAAGTGATATTTGAAAGCTTACAATTACAAAGGATTGAATTTCTTTCCTTACTGATTTCTTTCCTCCTTTTTTTCTTTCTTTTGCTTTAGTATAGAATTATTTTAAATGCAGATGATAAATGATAACAAGGAATTTTCATCTCTGACCTTTCTATTGCTTTGACTGACTCAAAAGGTGTAACCTTTACTTGAAAAGCTATGTACTGATCTAATGGGATCTTCAAGGAAAAGCACGTTTAATGTCCTGATATCTATTTGCACACTATGACCTTTAGCTCACAACCACATTTTAAGGTTACCTTAAGCATAGTTATTACCTGCAGTTGGGACAGAGTCAATGGATATCTAAACAATATCCAGGTAACACCTTCACTGCAGGGTGGAATGGTGAGAGAGCCTTCATATACCCAATAATCACGTAGAAGAGGATCTACAATTTAAAAAAATATATAATTTTAAAGTGATGAATACTTTACACACATAATATTCAAAAATCAAACAATGCTCAACAAAAGTGGCTAAGGGCTTGTCTATATGAGAAGCCACAAAACAATAAGCTAATGAGTGAATTTAGTAGAGGAGTCCTTGGAGTAAGTGAAATGTAGCTGTCTCCATTTTGAAAGAACATAAGTAGAGTGTATAGGGTAGCTAACATACTCCTTTGTAACTTGCCTAGGAAAAATCTTTAAGTTTGACCACATTAAGAATTTTTCTTAGCCCCACTCTGGAACAGGGACCTGAAGTTTGGCAGATGGCTGCACTCAGTGCTAGGGAAGTGTCTTTTGCCTTAACAAGTATTACCACTATTTTAGGGATCAGGAAAAGGAGGTATATTCAAGTCCTTAAGGTCACACAGGGGCAGATTGTGACCTTAAGGACAGATGCCAGATTTCCTGAATCCTGGTCCTCTCCTCTAACCATTAGTAAATGCTACTTCCCTTGAAGTTAGCCTCTGCCTAGTCCTGCATGTTGGAGAAAGAGAATGAAAAAAATAGCTTTCTTCTTCAAGCCTTGGCCGGCAAGACTAGACTCTCTCAGAGCCCAGCCTTTCAAGAAGTTCAGAACTCTTTGCTGGACTGAGGCCTAAAACCTTATAAACCCATCAGGGGTAAAAGATACTAGTATAGAATGTGCCAAAGAAGCCCAGTGTAGGAGGAAGAGGGCTGTAGTTATGTACTTTCTCAATATTTCCTCAGTACAACTTTACCAGCATGAGAGAGAGCACCCTAGAAAGGTGCTATTGTACATATTCTGCCAGAGACAGAGCTCCATTACACAATCCTTCTTCATCCTCACCCAACACAAACAGTATTTTAAAACCACTATCCATTTCTCAGTTATAGGCACAACAGACAGCACCACTTATCACAAAGGTTGCCAATGATGGCTAGAAAATGGTATTTAGAAGTTTGTTTTTGGAAATTGGCTTATAGGTAAAGTAGATATGCATTAGAACAATGATCCAGGGAAACAGCAAGGGTTAATTGGTTTCTAAAAAGCATGTCTGTGACAAAGTTTCTTCAAGGCCCACTGTGTCTGACAAGCAAGCAGTGGCCAGACACATTGGCTGGAAATTGAAACCATGTACTACACTGTTCCATAACATGAGATAAGGTGGCACCAGGTCACAGTGCCCAAGTGCAGACCCTTGAGATTTTGGGGAACAGACCAAATTCAGAGAAGACCAATAGAGCCCAAATTAGGAAGTATGAATGGGAAGGATTTGTGAAACAAATATTGACAGGACATATCATGGACAGTATGACGACCACTGAGGCCGCGTGTAGACGAAATGAGGGGCATGTGTACACAACACTGTAAATCGGGTTAAATGCTTTTGCACCATTTTAATGGTATTGGTGTTTGCATGTGTTGGTGGCGTATTGCGCAGTAATTCCAGCCACTCTAAGCAAATTCAGCAGCATAATGTGCCTTGAATGACTTGGGGCACAGCACCAGGCTCTGTGCAACTCAGAGGTTCTGCAGAAAGCCCATGCAGGCAGCCCGGAAGCAGCCCGGGGAAGCAGGCTCCACCCCAGAAAAGAAAAGCGGCAAACCTGATCTTTTTTCCATTTTTTCCCTGGACGCTGCCTCCTTCCTGAGCTGCCCAGGAGCCCAGTGCTAGCCTCTGCAGCTGCGGTGCCCCCCAGGATCACCAAGCTGGATGCCTGTGGGCAGGTGCTGCCTGGGCGGGGCTGCCACTGCCATGGAAGGAAACACCAGCCTCCCCCTCTTTCCCCACCCCAGGACTGTTCTGCACACTGGCAGCTTGCCCTCCCCTCCCCACCACTGGAAAGGCAGGTAAGTTCAGGTGTGTGTATGGCACAGGGGTTTAAAGGGCCGTAAATTGAAGTGGTGTTTTTAAAAACCCACTGTTGCAATTTAAACCAATCAGTGATGACCCAAAGATGAAGAGTCATTGCAGAGGGAAAAAGATACTAAAGGAGGGATTTTCAAGCAGCAAAGGGTCCCCAAGAGGGGTACCCAAGGCCACCATGGACAGAGGGCCAACCTGTCTTACCCACCCCACTGGAGGGGAGAGGGGGAGGGTGGGCCTTGGCCTCCATCCTCCAGGCTGCTGGCATCTGAATTCAAGAGAGAACCTCAGAGTGAAGCTTGTGTACCTTTCCTCTGATAACAGCTCTAGGACTGGTAAATATAGAATTGTTTGCATTATTCTTATCTGCTATCACTGTGTATCAATAACATTCACCTATTATTGAATGGAGAGGTTGTGGTAGGTGTAAGAGTTTGGGTCCACCCAGAATGAGGTATCTGGGTCATAAACCCAGTGCCAACAGTCAATGCTTCCCATTGTAAGACTTGTTTTCAGTGACTTAGAATTTTACCAGATGTTAACCATTTGGGCAGAAATTTTATATGCTGTGTCTGCCTCACATTGAACTTTATGGTAAATACTCAGATAAAATGGTAAATGCCATTTCTGAGAATGAAGCTAAGAAAAGTGGGTTTTGCTATCCCTGAGAATCTGTCAAAATCTAGCCAAGTTTTTAGTTTCAGTTCACTCTTGCTTAATTTTTTTGTTAGATTTTAACAAATATTCTATGGACAGTATGTATGTCCCAGGCAGGGATTCAGAAAGCCTATCCCTGTACCCACAACTATTAGCTGCTCTGGGCCATGCCAAGTATGGGCACCTGAGGGGAGAACAGAAAGACTAATTTGACTGATCCCCTGCTGGACTCAGGAACCTTGGAAGAGGAAGCTACTTGATTCAAATGCAGACTGTACAAGAATCAAACCTATAGGAAAACTAGGGGTGATAGTAAAATACACTAAGACTTTCTTTCCAAGACCCTAGGAATTGGGACAAAGAGACTGTGCCTAGCTGGGCAAGAAAACTGGGACTGAGAATCAGGAAGGAAAATGAGATGCCAGGATTAAGAGCCAGTAAGGGTAGAGAGGAGGTCAAATGATGCTTCCCTTAATTAGAAGAAGATTATAAAGGTTGCAGAGTGAAACACTCAAAAGTCAGGAAATGCCTTAAATAAGGTTGTCTATAAAACCTTAATTCAATTAACCCCTAGTTGAATTATCAAATAAGCTTCAGCTGAAGCACCCCAGAGGCCATTTTGAAATGCAGGGAGGGGTTAATACATGTCATAGTGAGCCATTTTACTTAGAGAAGCTATCCAGGAAACACTCTAATTAAAATGCCATCTCCCTGTTCCCCCCCCCCCATACCAAGTGTATAGGCACCTGTACCTGAGCATTTTACATGCATTAAATAAATTACCCTTACAACAACTCTGGAAAGTGAACTAGGTAATAATATCACCATTTTACAGATGAGGAACAAGAAGGGTTAAGATCAGAGCTATCCACTGATATGAAATGCCTAAAACCTGATTTTCAGAGGACTTCGCATTACATAACAACTTTATACATTCAAAGCACAGCTCCCATTGACTTCAGTTGCAGGTGTGAGCACTCAGCACTTCTGCAAATCAGACCCCAAGGTCACAAGTCAGGCACCTAGAAAATGAGGAACATGCAATTAGTGACCTCCTGTAAAAAATCTGGTTTAAATGACTCGACTAACATCACAGAGGAGTTCTGAGGCAGGGGTCCTGTGAAAAAGATGTTACGTGCTCATGCAATTAAAGACTGTCTCATAATGAAAGTGCACAAGAGACCTGCCTTGTGGTTGCACAGGCAACTTAATTCTGGTATTTCCTAACATTTGAGTGCTTGACCTTCTTTAACACAAGGTTATGAGTTTGTGAGAGTTTTTGGTAGAGGGATGGTGGTAATAGGTTTAAAGAGACTGATGCTATGAGATGAAATTTGACATAGATGCTCCCTTTTCTAGAAAAGACTTGTTCTGGAGGATTATTTTTAAGACTCAACATTTTGGCACCCATACATTGGAAGCGACTGTATTTGTTTCTCATCATTGATCTAAAACTTATTTGCTATGTGCATGTTGATCTACCAATCACCTAGATTTTCTGTCTAGCTGATAAAGGTATCATAGCATAAGGAGGATTTGTCTTTGAACTTAGTGAAAAGTCAAGGGAGTCTTAAATATCAATTAAAAACCTTTATTTGGAAAGTGAGACTTCTGAATAAGAAATAAATACCTGTCCCTGGATGCCTGCTGAAGTACAGAGTATGGGACAAGGACAACATACAACCCAACCCTAAAGGGACCTAAAGTCTTCCTCAACAGGGATGGGAAATTCTCAAGATGGATGGTCAGGGACTAATGGATGCTGTGCAATTTTAAGGGATGCAGTAATACTATATTCAAGCAGCCCACTGGAATGCTCAGAGAAATACTAGAATTTCCACTGTAATGAAGCTGTTCCACATCACCCTAGCCTGTGCCTCTAAGATGCCAGAGTGTCTAGAAATACATGTTGTTGACAACACATGAGTATCAGTTTTCCTCCTTCCATTTGAATCTCATCAGCCATATCACAGTGGCAGGACTTTAAAAATAACGATCTATCACCATAAGGAAGAAGATGGCTTCTCAATGGGTAAATTGTTTATAATCATCTTCACTGTTGGTCTAAGGGGTGGTCCACATCCAGAGATATAGACAGTTTTAGCTGGTAATCCAGCCACATTAAAGCTGCTTTCCAGAACAGCATGAGTTGCAATAGGGATTTTATGAAGTGGCATGAGGCAGTCAACTGTTCAAGAGTGCAACATGCATAACAGTTGATTTACACTAGTAAGAAAATGTTTGAGATATATATAAACACCACCTACCTGGTAACAACGAGTTGGGATTAAAACAGGGTATTGTTTTGGACTTCCCCTGAAAAAAAAAATAATACTAATCCATCTCATCTCCAGTTCAACAGAGATTGAAGGGAAAATAAAAAACTCTGAATGTTGGCATAATATTAAGCCTTGAATTTCTGTTCAGGTCATCCACTGTCATTAGCCTCCACAAATCATCATTACATTTGTCCTTGCAGCTATACAAACATCTTTTTATTTATTTTTACTTTGTATTTTTGATCCAAGGATATATAACCTATTTTGGTAACTCTCAGCTAGCTTAGTCCCTCATTCTCTATTGAGATTCTCTAAAAGCTCTTCATCCCTCTATTTGCTAATTTAAGGTTCCTGAATTCCATATACAGTGAATTTACGGATCAGGACCTAACTGATCTTTTGCCTAAGCTGCCTGTTTTCTCCAGAATTTCTAAGGCTTATATTCTGCCCTTGGACAAATACTAATATGGCCCTTTCAGTTCAGGGATGGAAGCATGTATACACCTGAAAACAGAATAAACATTATCATGTATATGTAATTGACTTTTACAAGTGAATTATAAAGATTTGTTTTTAAAGGGTATCAAAACATCAGCAGCACTTTTTATATGTAAAATTACCAAAGAATCAGAGGTTTAAATTACAGAAGACTATTTTGTTATATATTGTATATGTATTTATAAATAGTAAACCATAGCTATGATATCTCTGTAGGGCTGCAAAAGCCCTATAGAGGTCCTTTTAATTGTTCTTGGTTTATATCTGATGTATTGTCCTGTTTTAAATTGGAGATGTTACCAGTAGGTATAATACATCTAACTAAATAAAGGTGCATCTTTCAATCAACCATTTGAAAACCAGTTCATTCCTACATGTACTTCCCAAGACCTGAGTATGGATTTGCATTTCCGGTATCAAAAAGCCTAACACAGCAGTTCCCATGTTGTAGTCAACAGACCACTAGTGGCCTGTAAGGCCAGAGTAAGTGTCCTGTAGATTGTGCTGCTCCCCTTGCTTCAATCAAAAATTTGAAGATAAGGGTGCATGTTGATCTGCATGACATGTTGATGGTTGACAACGGTCCGCTAATCCAAAAATTCTGGGAACCACTGGTTTAACACAATCCAGAATACATTGAAAAAAATCTCCATTGACTTCAATCAGTTTTAACTGAGCCTGTAAATTAAGAAGCCTTGTGATGAATTCCATGAATTGTAAAATTTGCTGGGAACATCTGTAACATTCCAATACTTTAAATTAGTTTAAAATAATCATAAACTTAATAGTTTATCTTTATTACAATAAAGTAGAATTCAGACGGGATTTGTGATGATACCTTCATGTTCAGGCTGATGGCTCACCAGGTAGGAGGATCTATGCCTACACAACTACAGCCTGTTTGGCTGTTCTGTCATTGATCCCCATTGGTCCATGCCACACAGGAAGTGGGAAACTGCTCACTCATTTAAGGGAGTTAGAAAGAAGCAACAGTAGTCAACTCAACATTGCCTATCCTTCATCCAGAAATTACACTTCCTGATCTTGTTTCTCTTCTGATACATGGTCTGGACACCCTGATTTAATTACTGTAACCCTGGATCTTGCCTTTTGTCTGATACCTGTTCTTGACAGCATGTGGCTTTCATGCATAGCACCTTATAGGACAAGTTTAGTACACTTAATGCAAATTAAATGTATATATGCAGTAAATGTGCATCTTCCTGACCCTATGAAGGTCACTAATAAAATATGTTAGCATTAAAGTGGGCATTCATGACCTTCCTACTTTCATTTCTACTTCCAATAATCAGGGCATAAAGAGTTCTCTATACTCTCCCTTTTTTTTCCAGACACAGGGAAAAGATGATAGTTTCTAAAAACGAATATGACACCTGAAGCACATGATGTATTGTTCAACTAAAATAAGATTTAGAATTCAGTTTAATTGAAAAAAGAATGATATTAGATCCTAATTTCCAACATTTTCATGACCATTTCAATTAACTGGCACTTTTTCAATGCCTATGAAGCACTTTTTATTCATAGATAAATAGCCCCACAATCTGCCCACAAAATAAGCCAGCTGCCACCTCAAGTTTAATTGACCCCTATATATAAATAGATATAACTGTGCTACTTACAAGTGTGTCTATGTCGTACTTGTGCTAAACCTTGCAGCAATTAGAAAAAAGGGTAAAACATCTATGGGTATCTATAATTATTTGTCTATATGCAAATAAGTACAGGTATGTTTATTTTACAGTTAATGTTTTAAAATTTGTCCCTCACTTTCATGTCCTCAGAAAAAGCAGGGTCTAATGGTAAGGGATGGGGAAAAGAGGCTACAGGGAAAAGAGGTTGGGGGGGGGCGGGAAGAGGGCAAAGGGGCCACCTGCTCTTACCCCCACCCACAGGTGTATTTTCCCTGCTGTAGTAGTGAGAGAGGGACAAACTCAAGACAAACCTGCAATCACTAGATTCTATATCTGGAAAATTTTAACAAATTTATAAATTTTCCATATATAGAATCTAATTATTGGGGTGTCATCTGATATTCAAGATCTTATATTTGAGTACATATGTTATATCCTTTATCTTTTCTTAGTGGTTGTGTTCATATTGAGAACATATTAATATCATAAAGAAGTCAGTACTTGCCAGCAATTACCATCATAAGAGATCAAACTTTCCCTGCAGTCAGAAGAGGAAATAACCATAATAACCCTGTGGTATCTCTTGTTAAATATTGACTTTCTAATAGTTCCCATATGGTATTGTAACACAAATATTTCTGACCCTGTTCTTTCTGCCTCACTTTATCATATTTACCCTTTTTCCATTTAGTGTGTCTCTGTCAGCAAAGTAAGTATTTATATTTCCCTCAGACAATGCTTTACCTTGTACTGGATGTCCTGAAGAACTTCGGTGACAGCTTTTAGGCCTGCGTGTTCCTTTCCTATCTAAGACATTACAAACAAACAAACAAACAAACCCAAAAGTGAATGGTGGTGCTATGTTGTTTCTGAAAAATTGTAGAGCAAGAAACAGGGCAACAAGTACAACCAGATCAGTACTCCTTTGTAGTGAAGTTACATGACCTTGTATTAACTAAATACTACTACACAGCAACTTCAAACAATAGCTATTAAATCACTTACAAAAAAGAGTCATTGGCCAAAATGAAACTAGGTTTAAATAACTTTAAAGCTGTGACAGCAACTGATAAAACATTTTAAAAAGTCAAAGTTAAAGTCGATAAACAATCAGTATTGTAGCACGTAATGCACATAAGGTCAAAATGACGCAGTGTTGTGACAAAAATGCCAAGGCTATGTATGATTTGTCCTTACTAGCTGGTATTAGAAACGTACACATAAAAGAACTGAGTGTACAACTATGACAGAAACCTTTGAATTTGCAAAATAAGGCCCAACACTCCAACACTGAGTTTTACCTTTCCTTGAAGTCAGTGGGACTTTTGCTCAGGTGAGGAGTGCAGAATCATAGTTAAACACCCTCTTTTTAAATTACATACATGAAATCCTGACCTCATTTTAGTTCAGGGTAAAACATTTTCATTCATTTCTGGGCAGGATTTCACCCATGTCTTTATTGAATGTCCTTGTAAAGCAGACAAAATGCTGATAAGGAAAGCAAGTTTAAAAATAAATGTTTAAAGAATCAAGGGTAAACGCTTCCTTGAGATACCTCTGTACTGACAAACACACACACACACACACACACACACACATGCATCTGACATTGATTTCAATGGGAGCGACCTGCTTATGTGCATAGGCAAAACCACACTTGGATGTCACTGTTTAAATTCAATATGTTGCAGAGTTAGTTATAGAAGTACTATGTGAGCAGTATGCACATATACTTTATAAAACGTTTTAAAAGAGCCAGCCAAAATGTATCACTAAAATGCACACACAATTATTCCAGAAGAAGAAGTAGAGAAAATGAACCACAAATAACAGATGCTAGTCATATTACTTAATGGCGACAGGAAGGATAGAAAACCTAAATAGAATCGAACAGAGCAGTGACAGTATTTTTCAAGGCACCCAAGCAGTTTAAGAGCAAAAGTCCCCTTGAGTCTTAATGGAACTTGTACTTTTGAGACTTATACTTTTAAGTTGGTGTTTTGGAAAATGTCATTCTAACAGTCAGGATCTCATAAAACTTCACAGGTTTGTTTTTAATGTCACTCACCCTGAACATTTCAGTGCAGTTACTCTTTACATACTCTTGTAAGAGCAGCCACAGACACAGATTTTATCTTTGGGAGGATGCTGACAACCTAGATTAACCTTTTTTTCTAATTTGTTTTTCAAAATGCAATTTTCTGTGTATTCAGGAATGCAGGGGAGATTTTCTTAAAGCACCAGAGACTTCTCTGTTCCAGAAGAATTTTTTTTTTAATATAGATGTTTGGGGAGCACATTGTTTAGTAGGACACATACTCAGAAACAGACTTCAGCTTTAAGTCTTTAATCAATGATTATAAACAATAATATCTAAACAAACTGAAAATAATTTAACTATGCTGTTTTAACTTAATAATCAACAGCTTGAGCCAACCTCCACTGAAGTCAATGGAAAGATTTTCATTTGCTTTCACAGGATTTGTATGAGGTCCCTCTTTAATAGATGTGAAAAATATTGTGATTGAATTTGTTTTCTCACTGTGCTATTAATTAGCAGCATTAAATACAATGCTTCCTTCATCAATTTTTAATTATATGGAGTCTTTCTCGGCTAATGAGAAATCACCTTGGAATGTTTAAGAGCCATGACTAAGGTGAGAGGCTAGAAATGGAAAAGATATAATTTAAGTTTCAAAAAGTTATTTAAGAATTTTATGTAACTTTCTAGCTAACTCCAAGGTTAGCTCTGCTGGAAGAAGAGAGTTCTTACATATGCAATTTAACTGTGGCCCTCTAGGATACGAAACCAAGAGAACTAAGAGTTTTTAGTTATTTCTTAGCTGTACAGTACAGTTTCTCAACATTGGAGCTGTAACTGCTGCACCTTTAAATTCAAATCAAAGTAAAGCTCAAAGGTACACACAACCTTGTTATAAAAGAAGACAAATTAACAATATAACAGTGAAAGGAAATCCATTTGATCTAAATATTAAATTATAACTCTTCTTCAAACATACTTAAATGGAACAGTTCACTGCTTGTGATTGAGGCTCTGTGAAATTGATGCTTTGGGGTCAAACAGAATGAGTTTTTCATAAGGTTCAAAGTCTTCTACATTCCTTCAGTGTCACTTAGGGTATGGGCTTCACACAGTATGAACATACAGTTCAAACTCCTGTTCATCCTCATCAATAGACCACAGGAACTCCTCCGCCAAGACACTTTTGAGGGCCAGCCTAGTGACCAGCAACCACCAACAACTTGTTTGATGTCTCCGAATACAGAGAGCCTTTTTCCATTTTACAGTTTTTAGTGCAGGAGCCAAATTATAAAAGTGCCCCATGCTTTGCAGGTCTAGTCCCACTGACAGCTCTACCCCGTACTAAGGAGCCAGGCCACACATACGCCTTTCCTCTTTGCCTCTTCCCTTCCCTGTATAGCTTATGCCCTGAGCAAGAAACCTGACCAAGAGTTGAAGAGAGTACACTTCGAAGATGGTACATTACTTGTGCTCGTTAAAGCTACAGGAGGCATGACACCCAGATGGAACACAACTCTTTTGTTCCAACAGGGGCTGTCCAGGGCTGTGTAGTATTGCCACAATTAATGGGTAGCTGCAAATGTGCATGACTTTATCCAGCAGCACACTACAATTTAGGGCAAAAATTGAAGAATATATTTTTCCAGCTGAAACCAGAGAAAATGTAAAGTCGATGGGCCATGTTACTCAGGTGGAAATTGAGGCAGGACTGAAGTTAACAGCCAGTTTCTTATTCCAGATGATAAGACTCTTAATAAGCAGTGAAGTGACCAGTACTTCATTTTTCTGTGTCTGCAAAAGCACAGTACTACCTAACCTGGTAGTTTTCACTCCTGAGTGAGAAGACAAACTGCCTCCTTCTCAACTGCCCAACCCACTTACTTTTTAAAGTCCTTAAAATATGCCATCTCAGCACTGAAAATTAAACAGCAATACCCCTGATATTTAGCTTGTCTAACATGACAGGACCACAGCACAAGGCAGTTTTATGATATGCCTTCTATTTGTTCAGCTGCATTGTTTTCAGTTTGTTGTTTAATCAGGTACCATTTAGTTACCATATGCACTAAAAACATTACAAGAAAACAGAAGTTATAATAAATACTAGCAGCTGTGGATTCCTTTTATTTTACGAAGTAGTAGAAAGTAGAAGGGGATTCATTTACCCAAGTTAAATAATGATATGTGATTACTTACCTGCACAAACAAAGCAATAATAGCTATTCCATGCTTTTTCCCAACTGCCTCTTCAATACTGTTGTATAGTGTAGAATTCCAATGCATTAGATGGAGCTGGAACAAAATGATAGAGACAGAATGTCACCCATATATCTAACATAAAGTATAATGAAGAAATAGAAAGGTCATTTTGAGTAACATTTATAGATGGAATAAAAGATGGACCCTCATTACATTCATTATGAGCATGGTGAGGAAGAATGTACTATATAGTCATAGAAAAAGAGGACTGAAGCGACCACCAGAAGTGGTCTAGTCTGACCCAATGTTTCAGGCAGGAATACCCTTATTTAAACTCAAGCAACTGTCTGCTCAATTTTCACTTCAAAACTTCCAGTGATAGATTCCATAACCTTTCTAGGTAACCTGTCACTTAACCACCCTCACAGTTAGAAAGTTCTTCCTAATATCCAATCTAATTTTTCCGTGTTACAGTTTAAGCCCATTAACTTCTCCACCCTGTGGACACAGAGTATAGTTGATAATCTCCCCTCCTAGTCCACAAGAAAAAAAAATGTTTTGTAGTCTACTGTTAAATAACTGTTAAAAAGACATGAATAGTTGTATTGAGAGCATGCTACAAATTGTATCAAAATCTGTCATTCCGGGGCACAGAAAAAAACCAACTAACTCAACCCATCAGCATTCTCACACATGGCCAGCTAGCTCTCTTCCAAAGCCCTAAGTCACAAAAGAACATGGTTGTAGTCACAGACCATCAAGAGATTCTTACCGTGCCTTTCTGATTGCACACGTCTCATATACATAGACCTACGAAAATTGAGGAGGCAAGTGGCAGGTTTTGCAGGCCCATCACAGAGCTGGCCATCATTTTCATCACAGCATGCTTCTAATTGGCCAAGGGGACTGGTGGCCCCATCCCTCACCACTGATTGGCTGAGAGGACTGTCTGTTATGTGGCCATGTGCAATAGGCAGTCTTCTCAGCCAATCAGCAATGAGGGGCAGGGGATGGCTGCTGTCTTGGCTGTTCCCCATCACACCAGTGGCTTCCCCCCATTCTGCCCCCCTATGGGCAGGAGCCGTAGAAGCCATGTGGACCTCTGGATCCCACTGGGGAGTCAGCATTTTATTTTTAGTAAGTTTTTTGTGTGTGTGTGGATTTCGTGGACATTGACCAATTTCACAGACAATGCCTGGTTTCACAGTTTCCACAAAGTCTGCAAAATCGCAAATTGAGTAGGTAGGTCCCTACTTACATACTGTCTCACAAATCTGCATAGCTGGGACCTTATCACTGAAAAACAAAATGTCCCTTTGTTCACCGGATGCAATGGATGGGCAAAAAATGAAACAGGGAACAATAAATGGAGGCACCATTGGGAGGAACAGTAAAAGAGAGAAAAAGTGCCTCTACAGAATGATGAGTGTAATGAGTTTTAACTTGTCATTTAACCTAGAGTATCAGCAGACTATCTATTTGCTTTTAACCAGTCAATTTCCTTGAATCAGGGGCTAAGATAATAAATGACCATGTAAATGGGAGGCAGTAGACACAGGCTGGTAAATGTGAGGTTTTTATTCTGGTAATTGGTTATAGCTGCCAAGGAAGATTTAGAAAGAACTGTCCTCAAAGCATGCTGTTAATGAAAAGAAAAGAAAAAACGGAAAAGATTGACAGCTTCATATACATGAACGGTAATATGCATTTCAGACAGATGACTGTTTCCAACACCTAACGATAAAATGTTATCTCTGTGGCTGTGGCTGATAACATTGCAGAGACTGCCCCTCTTAAGCTGGGCTGCTTTCAAGTTTATCTAGGAACTGCCTCCGCACATTCCACATAGATAAAACACCTACAAAAAAACTCTAAATTTAATTCTCTGTTGTAAAATTCAGTGATCAGTGTTTTGCACTGTTATGGGTCTGAGAGGTTAAAATGTTACCCTCTTATCTAACACATTTTCCAGTTTCAGAAAAAAAATATTTCTAAAACAGATGATATATCTGACTATTGTACAATCTGTTTCTACCTAGCACCTCTGTGAAGTGGGCCTGGCCTCCACTCCAAGTGAGATCATTCAGAGTGCTCAGCACTTCACAGGATTAGTGCCTCAAAACAGTAACCCATTTTCCAATGTGACAGAAATCAAAGATAAAGAGCTGATTATGTTTATTCCAACAAATGTTCCAAAAAAATCTCTAAGTGCACCTCCTATATACCGAATTAACCCAGTACACTAAACATGTTAAAAAATTATGTTTAAACAAAAATATTGAAAGGACAGTAAAAAATAAATCCATACCATAAATATTCCATTTGTGTCAGAGTGCTTATACAAAAAGCCCTCTCTGTACCTACAAAAGTTCTAGGCATATAAGGATCTTAATTTTAGGCAGCTCCTGGAGCTCCCAACCCCTGCACTGTCCACATGTTAACACCTTAAACTAATTTTAAGCAGTTTAAGCACACTTTGGGCAAAGTTACACTAATCCAGGGCAGGTTTATCTCCAATCCGTACTACCCAGATCATGTTCCATCAATGTGTGGCCACTCCTCACGGATGAGCTGCCCAAGTTGCAGCCCTCCAGCTTCCCAGGATGCAGTGTCCCCTCCCCCACCCTTCTGTTCCATGTTAACAAACTTTCCACCCCCTGAACTCTACTGCCCAGGGTGTGGTTCTGGCACTGAACCATCTCCCCCTTCTACCCCCAGGGGTTTGACCTTCCCATACCCAGAGGTGCTACCCTGTGGAAACATGCCAGCTAGCCAGGTCACAGGGCATGGATGGATCTAGGAGCGGGGTCTAGAAGGCATTGGGAGGAGCAAGGTCAGGGACCAGATTGGGTCCTCGTGACCTGGGGCTTCATTCCCAGGGCAGGGGCAGTAGCTCCCCCAAAAGTGCCTTACCTCACCACTCCCACCTCCCAGTCACCCCAAGGAGCATGACCAGCACCCCCCACATTCTATCCCAATCCTAATTTATTAAAACATAAGATCTTCTTTAATTTACTTCCTCTTTATTCCTTTGTTTTTTCCCCTTCAGTGGCTGACTTCCATCATTTCATCACCCTTCTCCCACCCCTCCCATTTTATTAGATACCACCAACCCATTAAGTCTCTGCCTCCTAGCTTCATGTTCCTACCTCCCTCCAAGTTTACCCCACCCTCAGTCTCCACCTAGAGCAGGGATAGAAGCCTGTTCTGGCTCACCAGTCCTCTAGTGGCAAGTCAAAGCTGTGCAGGTGGGGAACAGTCAGTCAGAGATGGTTTTTAGCCTTAAGGTGAGACTGCTCCAAACTCCAAGCTAACACTAACACTGATCAACATTTGAGCAGCAAAAAGTGCAAAATGTTACAAGGCTCTAAATGACCACCTTATACATGACAGATTTCAATTGCTTTCTCCTCATTCCTATATTCACATACCTTGATCTGGGAGTTCAGTGAGAAAGGGCAAAATAGTCTATTTGGCAACTTGCTGAACTTTCTCATTTTTAAATGGAACCTTTTGTAACTTTGCTCTTTCATACTTTTGCATCATTCAGAAGATAGCATTAGTCTCTATCCTCACTCGTTACTTCTAAATGGTTTCTCAAAATAAATCTAATAATGACAATTCAGCCACAAAAAGGTAAAACTAACACACCCCAGCATTATAGTGTTGTCTTCTAAACTGAAGCCAGCTTGTCCAAAACAACAGTCTCTGATTACTGACAGGAATTTGCAGATATTTCATGAGCCACTAGGGGGAGCTCATGCAGTCCCATGATCACAACCATGAAATCCTAACATTAACAAAGAGAAATCTACTTGCTATAAACAAGCCTATGCAGACACACAAAAAGAATAAAGTTCCAGTACTGCAGTTGTGATGGCAATGGCCTTTGTAGTGAAGAAAACAATACTGCATATTAATTTAGTTTGAAATGTCAAAGTAAACTTTCCCTTCTGTGATTGTAACAATGGTATTGAGAGTGATAGCCAAGTTTAGCGAGACTAAGTCAACAGACAGATTTTAGTGAAAGCCACCCTGACATTCAACAGCATGTTACATTCACAGAGGTAATGTTTGTAAGCTAATATTTTTCTGCATTTTGACAGCAAAGTGGCTGGAAGTTGACCTCTGATGTTTTAAAATAAAAATAAGTTACTTGATATGTTCCTCAATGGGTGTGTCTACACATGAGGCGTTAATGCACATTAAAGGCATGAATCTACATGTGCATACTCTTAATGAGCATTAAGAAAGGTCAATTTAGGCTATTTGTGCCTAAATTGAATACCTGCAAATGCAGGTATTCAATTTAGGTGCAAACAGTTAAAGTGCATTAATGAACATGTAGATGCATTAAAGTGCATTAATACTGTGTGTGTGTCAACTGACTTGTGACTAACTTTAGTCCCAAGTCAGTCTACACACAGCATTAATGCGCTTTAACACCTGCATGAGCAGATGCTTGCCTAAACCGGCTTAATGCGCATTAAGCTAATGTGCATTCAATTTAGGCATATTTAAATGCACATGTAGACATGCCCAATGAGAAAAAAAATGTGGGGACCTTTATTGACATGTCAGCAATATCATCTGCTCATCAAGAGAAAGGTTGGGTCCCAATACATAGGGTCCTGAATTAGGACTGAGTATACCTGGGTTCTATCCCTGGCTCTGATCTGAATTGTTGTGTAACTTTGGGCAAGTCACTTAATTCCTCTATGCCTTCCATGCTTTAGCTGTCTTGTCTACTTAGACAGGCGATTCTCATCCAGGATGTTCTGGTACCCTGCAGTGCCAGGAGATTCTTTTAAGGGTGCTACAGGGTGCTTCATTATATTAGTGCTGTTAGATATGCAAACACTTGCACATGATCCCAGTGGAACAAGGGGGTACTCCAAAAATCCATATGGGGAGACATACCAGAAACTGTATTTTCCTGCTGCTCTGAATGGGAATACTGTGCATAACTACTGATACCAGAAAGTAGGTCCTGCAAACTCCTGGGATGTATCAACTGGCTATAATGTAATCATAAAAGCAGTAATCATAAAATCATAGAAAACTACAGCTGACATTAACTAGTAAAACTGCCT